AAGCTCCAAAAGCCCGAAACCCGACCCTTTTGAGGGTCGAGTCGGGTCGGGTTTCGGGCTTTTTGGAGCTTTTGGAGCTTTTCGAGCTTTGCGGAAGTCTAGTAAGACTAGATAGTATAGCGTTAGCTACCCAAAACTCGGATATGAAAGGGACAAAAAATACCTGATTATTTCAAGACCGACAATCGAGATATATTCGTAGGATAGTTATATAGGATATAGAGCGTAGTGTAACCTAAAATTCGGCTACCGGCTTAGATTGGCGGCACTTAGGGCAGATAATAATATCTATTAGAGCGACGTAATACCTATAGATACGTATTAAGGTCGATAGGATAAGGAGGTAAGAGACTAGAAGGGGAAATATAATAATAAAAATTACGTAGGTGTAGATAGTGGAAAAAAAGTCGTGTGGTGATAGGCCTTATCGTGATAGTAGAACCGTATTGCGATATGTAGGCCGGATTATGGATTTTACGGGCCGAATCAAGGTATCAAGTCCAACAAATATATAGAGTAAATCACGTGACTTCCGAATTTCTCGACCAATCAGAGGCCAGATCTCAAATCTGAAAGGCGGGGATTTAGACCTAGTAATTAAGAAATTGATTGTATTGTAGATTTGCTTCGCTTCGCTCAGCAAAATTATATTTAGCACCTCTCTAGTACCCTAAGCAAGCTTATTTATAGTATTAAAGTGGTTACATAGTTTCTTAGGGGCTCTTAAAAACCTAGTTTTAGGGGGCGAATTCTGTTTTCTCCCACTACCGGCGATAGCTGTCTTTTAATACCTTTAAAAAAATCAGATTTAAAGATAGAGCCGGGAGTTAGAAAGAATATGAACTAATTTTGAGAGCCTATAGGCCCTTGGTTAGTGAGATAGAACAAAAATTAAATCTGGGCAAAAAGAGTTGTTTTTTTTCCCGCTGCCGCCCCCACCTGCCACTCCACCCGCCGCTGAGCCTCCCACGATGGAGGCTGAAGAATCGACTGTTGAGACTATCGAAGACATTCATGAATACGCAGGCAAAAACTTAGGTGACAACACAGACGATAACATCCATGAGACCATCCGTCAGGCCATTCGTGAGACCGTGCTTGAGGCAGCAGAGGGAACTTATAGGCTATCTGAGACGAATTACTAATGGGATGGTGGATTTCAGCGGGAACCACAAGGCTGATACTATTTAAGTCCTGAAATGTGATTGGTGAACTTGATCTATACCAAAGGATGGCCTGGTAACACTGGAGCCTACTTTGGTATGAACCTTGGAAAATGCCTCTGCCTAATGAGGTACCTGCTTACTGGATGTACAGAGGCAGGTACATCATTAAATGGCTCTCGCCGTTTTTGACTTCCCCGAATTTCTGACATCGTTTTAAATTTTTGTTGGTCTTTGCTTTTGATAGATTTTTTTTGGTTTACACTGCTCTGCTACTCCCATCCTAAGTCTCCGAAGCTGAAAGACTCACTCTCATCATCATGACCACACCTACTGGATCACACGAACCCACAGCAGATAAGAAGCGAACACGCCGCATACGCAAAGGTAACCTTCCTGGCCCTGTCACTGTGAAACCAAAGAAGACCTTGTTTGTGGATGAGATCGGGGATTCTTTGGTTGATGGGCTCTACGAGACAGCCAAGCGTAACGGCGATGTTGATAATCTTGCTGCCTCTTCCATTTCTCTCTGGGATCATTTGCGCAGCAGCACAGGGCCTCCAGCAGCCTCATCCTGTTCGAGCTCAGCAAGCTTTAATACATTGTCTGATTCTAGCCCGGCAACGAGTGTGAACAGTCATGAACCCCTCCCAATCAATTCCTTACAAGTACCAACAACGGTCAAAGTGCTGAACCCAACCACTGATTCACTTCATGCAAAAGCCAAAGGCCAAGATCTAGATGCGGTATTCGGACTCGAAGATTTCAAGACCGTGGCAGCCATCCAACAAATAGCTGCACAGTATGGCCAAGTGGCACACATGGGAATCCTCGATCACAGCTACCGATTCTTCGTGAACAAATCAAGAACGGCAGCAATTTCATTTAAGGTCCAGAACGGTGTGGCAGTCATCGGTGGAGATCCATTATGTCACAAAGACGAAATCCCCGAGCTCTTGTCGGAGTTTGCAGCCTATCGGCAACGACATCATTTGAGCATAGCATTCATGGGCGCCAGCGAGTCCTTCCTTAAAGACTACGCCAAACCGAACGGTTGGACAACAATCCGCTTCGCCACAGAGCGCGTACTGAATCCTCAGACAAACGAAGTCATCCTAGAGAACAGCGGGAAACGCATCCTGACCAAAAGCCGTCAACTCACGAACAAAACTAAAGGTGGCATCACCATGGGCGTGTACGCCCCCGCCGTGCATGGGATAAACCAAGATCTACAAAGTAACCTCATCGCCGTCTACGATGCCTGGCGGGCTGAGCGCAATGCCTCCGCCAGCCCACAAGCCTTTATAACCGTCTACGACCCCTTTGCCGTCCCCGCCCTGATGACCTTCATCTACACCCGCACCCCAGACAGAACAATCAACGGTTTTGCTGCTCTTCGACGCCTCGGCGCCGGCGGCTACCATGTTGACCCGTACATCGCAGCCCCAGGCAGCGTAAGCGGCATCAGTGACCTTCTGCTCGTCATGGCGATGGCTCTCCTCCGACGCGCCGGCGTCTCTTACCTCGGCCTCGGCGTCGAGCCACTCCAATCACTCAACCGCGAGGATGTTAGCGGCATGCCGTGGCCCTGTAAGAGTTTTACACGCGGTCTGTACGGCCATGCATTCCAGCGTCTGCCCATCGGCGGCAAGAAGGCATACCATGATAAATTCCGCCCTGATGCAACTCAGGACGCGGGTCTTTATCTTGTTTTCCCATCCGGCATACCCAGTCCCCGACACATGCTCGCTATGACTCATATGGCTAACATCAGTTTGCGGAAGATATTCCGGGCGGATGTCGAGTCTTTTGTGTTGACTCGCAAGTTGAAAGCAGGTGGTGAGGTTGTTGTGTCGCTCGGTAAGAAGGAAGGTTCGGCCGAACAAAGCAAAAAGGGTGACAGGTTTGAGGAGGAAGTTCTTGTATTCTATTCGCCTTGTGTGCGTTAAACATCTTCTCGTTCTTTGTTTGCTATGTCAGCGATCCTGGGCACTCCATCATCCTCAAGGCGTCCTGTTCTAATTGCTTGGCCTGGTGTTCTTGCTGGGATATTTACACTTCGGTTCTCGTCAAAAAAAAAAATTCCTTGTCCGATTATATCTTTGTACCTTTCTACTTTTTTTTATTTTTTAGACCGATTCATTCTCATTCTACTAGGGGGTTTCTTGGTGGGGTAGTTGTGATTATGTAGGTCGTTTTATTTTATTTTTTTGTATAGCCAAGTGTCACTTGGGAAATTGGAATCCTCAAAAGAGATATATCCAGTACTGAATAAAGTGAACACTTCATACTCAAGCATGTGGTCATTACCAGTATAAGCTCGAAGTTGGAATCATAATGTACAATACAATGCACAAGGCGATTCCTAACGCCCATCCACGTATCTTATCCCGCAGCACCAATTAAAGGCGAGATGGTTCAATTAACAGATCCGACCGAAGAGGAAGTCTTTGACGATAGGGGAACCCGAGAATTCCGGGTTTAGAAGAACACAGCTAGAATGGTGTGAGAAACAGGTCTATACAATGAATTCATGGTAATCTCGGAGGTGCCAGGGGATACTGACTTGAAAAAATATTCCAACCCCACACGCCTTGATTCCAGGAATTTGGGTCGGAATTTATCTGTCGTGATAATGGCTATTAGCTGATCGGGTTGCAATATTCAAAGGGAACATGAGAGACATAAACCTACAGATAACGCTCTTCGGTGGCAATGCAGGCAATGCATTCCTCGCATGCGGGAAAGAATCGACCAGCCGCTGCCGCAGGTCATCGAACTCAGAGTATCTATTAGCAAATCCTAATGTCAGTCGATGATCCTTTAAACCCGGGACGGAAACGGAAATCAGGGGGATCAGCAACATACCTCATCCGAAGAACGATCGGACTACCCTACACCGGAAAAGCATCCAAATCAGACGGCCATTTCAAAGCACATCGCCTCATCCACAGGATTCCAAACTTACATCAAGCGTCTGGACCGTACAATTCCACACCACATACGACCCAACACCAGTCATACCATGCACAACAACATGATCATCAATAGTGACGCTACTCGCCCAGAGCCCTCGACTCGTCTCAGAGTTCGGGTCAGCAGTATGGTCTTCGAGGGTTATGTGCGCAGCGCCATGCAACGATGACTGCGAGACATGCGAGGCATTGCGCTCGTGTTGGCGCCAGTAGGGAGGCACTACGGCGGAGACGGGGAGGGATGTTGTGGAGAATGAGGATGCAGAGCTTCGGGCTGGGCCACTTTGGCCGTGAGCGTTTGTCGCGACGGAATTGGCATGGGTGGTATCGGTATCGGTCTCAGGTTGGAGTGCGGGGAAGGGCTCGGTGTCTGGGTGTGGGGAGGAGGGGTGTGGCTTAAATGCCGGTCCGGCCTCCTCGGGTGCTGGCTCCATCCATTAGATGCTGTGAGGAATAAGGGTGTTGATGATCTGGGTGGGATTGATGTTAGCTTTGCTGTTGAGGTTTTTTTTGCGTTTGGAGGTGGATGTGGCTCGGTTCGGAGAGGTATTCCCCTCCATTATGCGGGGAGTCTATAGTGCTAGGTAAAAATCAGGCTAATTTAAACGGGGTTACAAGGATAGGTCGGGCTTCGGCGGAGTGGTACAAGTAAACCGAGGTAAGACAGACTGACCTTGGGAACTGTATTTGGAGTGTGAGAATGTGAAGCGTGAAAATAAAAATGATGGACTGGAGAAATTCAATTGGAGATTTGAGACATTGGCGGTCACGGACTTGGGCTGGTTCGGGGTTAGTGGCTTAGCTAAGGCTACCTTACCTACAACATACATAGAGATGGAGGTGTCGGGGAAATGCTCCTTTCTGATGAATATCTTTGAATGTATTTCCTCTATCAGATCTCAGATATAACAAGGATTTCAAACGTGTCTGCTTTTGAACTTGAACTTGACACTCTCAACATTCAATCAGACTACTCGAAGCCAAGCTGCACACTAATCCCAAAATGGTAAGCGTTGCTTGAACACCGTCCTCTAATCTTTAATTCTCTTAACTTAGGCTGAAACATGCCACTTTCCTACCTTGACAAAAATACTCTGATGTCTTTGGAGTGGGGACCGGTGACAACAGTTGTGACACACAGTGAGCTGTCCACTTGGGCAAGACAAATGTCGGTACAATCCGAGATCATCGAGATATCTCCGGATCGACACATCTCAAAGGCCAGCCCCTATATCGGACCCTTGGTTCAATAAACTCCTACCTCAACGGAACGGACCTCATTATTGAACTCACTTGGTAGGGAATGCGTTAAGCTTACTCAGAAAAAAACAAACAAATCATTCGCTGCGGTAGAACCGGGAGGGTGGCACTAGTGCGTGCCACCATGCAAACCAACTAGTGCATTCTATACATAGGCAATCAGGTATAGTCCTGTGATTGCATTTTTTTTGCTTTATGAGCTTCCCACCCCTTCCTTGCTGGCTACATTTTTTTTTTCCTGCTCAAGCTACTTGCACTCCTACACCTGTGCATCTTAGAAAAACAGCATCTTGCTATTGGCTTTAGGTCATCATCTAACATCTACACCCCTCCTCCTTCCTCTCCTTGTTCTCGAAAGAGTCCAACTATACAAGCTCTGTAGGTTCCAAAACATTACCTAGTTCCTTTACACCTTTCCCCCTTCATTCCACCTGCCTAAGGTGCCTTCCGCTAGCTCTAAATTTGGGTTCTAGAGCGTGTAGCAGACTGTCACTGACATTCTTGAAGACCAAAAGGCTAACACAAAAGAAATTAGTAGCTAGCAGCTGCCATTTTCTGATTCTTCAATTGCCACCAAGCTTATTCAACACCATGTTGTCCATGACCATGTTCATCCTCGCCTCGGCTGCCACTCTAGTCAACAGTCAATTTGACCCGACCACCGTTCCCTATGCTACAAGAGGTCAGTCGATGTCCCCAAAATTCTGCCTCCCATGCATAAAACCGTTCTATTAACATATCATCCCTCCCTCAGAGGCCTGGTGTAACTCTCAAACATCCGCATGTCCCCTCCTCTGTCTGCAACTACCGGGAGCCTCGGGCACACCAATATCAAATACCTGCTCACCCGTAAGTCTTTTGCGTAGCAAGCATAGCATTCCTCCGGGGAAAAGCAAATTTCCAACTAACCCCAAATCCTCAGACCACACTACTCTACTACTGCCTGTGCAGCAACAACGTCACTCCCAACGCTAGCGAATATTCTCAAACAATCCCCTACTACACCTGCACGGAAACCAACAACCAATGCGTTCTCAAATGCAACGGTGATCCAACTTGCCAGAATAACTGCAGAGTAAAGAACCCATGTGGAGCTCAGGATCCCAAGCGTATTAATGTGACTACTACTGTCGCCATAGCCGCTACCCCTACTGCAACAGAGACTCCTGTCAACACTCTTGTTAATGGAGCTACTGGTGCTGCTCCGCGTATGGCCTCAGTTGATATGAGTCATGTCTACGGGCTTTGTGTTTTAGTTGGTGGGTTTGTTGCCGGCTATGCTACTCTTTTGTAGAGTGTAAGGGCCTAGGCCTTGATTCCCTCACCCTATGGGGTATGGTTCAAAAGTTCAGTTGGTTGATTGAATAATGAAACATGGAGATGAGGTCTCGAATGCTCGAGATTTTACTACTTTGGTTAGTCTTGTGTCACTTTTTCGTTTTGCGTTTTCCGGCTGCATTAGCATTGAGCGTCCGTTGTTCCTTTTTTTTTCTTGCTCGTGACTTTACGGAGTAATTGATTGCTGGCCGCTCGTCTACTATATCCTGGTTTCACATTGCCTTCATTGGTAGTGTATGTTATTATAGAACGTGATTCAACCTTAGTTAATACATTCGTAGGTCATTCACATTATCGATTCTCCAACCCATTTCTGGGTTTTAATTTGCGACAGGTTCACTTGACCTTTCTTTCATCCTTACTAAACTTATTGGATCCTTGCCCGCAAATCCATGCTGCCCGTCCACTGCCCTTCATCATCTTGCTCTACGACCGTCAGGGCTGGGAACTTGGCCGGCATAATCCGCCGTGGCCTCGATGCTGAGATGACGGTGTATTTGGAAAAGTCAGAGACTCCACATTTCCGCCAGAGGAAGTCCTCTTCTGTGTCCAGGAGCCCATTCACTACTTGGTACAAAGCATGGCTAAAACGACATCGGAGAGTTTTGTCTGTTGCAGTGTGTCAGTTTTGAAAAGACCAGAAAGAATTTGACAGTACAACTAATCCAGAAATGAACATACTGGCTTTTTCAGATCCTTTTGATGGGGTGTGTCCGGTCTCTCATGAAACTCCGTAACTGCCGATTCAATCGACTGGAAATTAATGCAGTCAGCAGTCCCGTCAGAGATTCCCGCTCAGAATAAAATCAAGGCCAAGAGACACACCGATGCAGGCCAGATACTCGTCACCGCCATTTCATTTCGGCCTTGACGAACAAAATCCATGGCCAGGCCTTTGACCAAGACTCTGATTCCGACTTTTCCAACATCCAACAGATCACGTATCAGAAAAAGTAGTCAAACAAACCTGGTATCGACTCCGGCCTCCCAAAGCCACAAGTCAAAGACACAAACTTACCCATCGCATAAGCAGTCTTCCCTCTAGAGAACCTCGAATACATAGCGGGCTAATAGACCACAATGCGCCCATTCCAGCTCGATTTCTCAAAGAAAGGCAAAGCAGCCTGGACAGTCGCATAAATTTTCCCTAGGTTCACCTGCTGCATAAGCTTGAATCGCTTTAGAGGCGAATTCTCCACAGCCGACCACCAGATCGCGCTGGAGTTGTACAAAAGCACATCCAGCTTATCAAAAATGCGCAACGTCTCCTCGATGGCATGCTTGATCTGTGCAGCGTCACGCACGTCAACGGTGACCGTTGCAGCACATCCGCCGACCGCGCGGATCTCGCGCTCCACAGTGTTGATGGTGGACTGCGATGAGTTCGGGTCTGGTGGGAATGGGGTCACTATTGATGCATCTGATGTTGTTTTTGCAAATAGCCTTACTGGCTTGCGGTGTCATTTTCGATCATCTTGAATATTTATGTGGGGTTGCATCTAGCTGTGCCGACGTTGCCGTTCCTTGCTAGGTCGATAGCGATCTAGCGCCCGATTCCACGGTCTACGCCTACAATATGGTTGACCTGCTGCCTTTGGTAGAGGAGGTTTTGGTGTGTTTAATGTCCTGGTTGCGTTGCTGAGGTCCTGGACTAGACTCGAGATATATACCTGGGGTTTTTGTATTTTCTAAATGCCGAGCTTTGTCGATTATCTTTCCGTTCAGGCAGTGGGAAAAGCCAATGAAGTCTTTTTGTCTCAAAATACTTGGGTCCTGGGCCGGTTTTATATAGCCGAAAGGTTGAAGTCGATGCTTAATTTCCTGACTTCTCAAGTTCCAAGGCACATGGTGCAGGTCTACTACACGATAAGCTTTTCCGCCTCGACCAAAAAAAAAAAATTTTGCAAGCCCAAATATCGGCATGTAGTCTTCCATGGCTCGAGATTTCAATTTCAAGCCTTCTAATTATCCGAAGACTCTTCTGGTTGCATATCAATGTAGCCAAGCTGCCCAATGGACATGTACTTTTACCAATTGAGTGGCGGTTCTAATTTTCCAAGTCTTCCGTTGGCCTTTCGGTTCTTTTGTATCAAGAAATTAGATATTTAACAGAGTTTTTAGTTTCTCTTAATGAATCATGGTGATTTTTCTCGATCCTTGCCCACGTCTATCGTGTTCATTCAAGAAACTTCTGGATGGCGGTGTAATAGACGGTCGGATTCTGCCAGACAATCAACCATCACAATGATCAACTGACTGATTGTCACCCGCCTCGCGTGTGCTCTCTGCCCTAAACAGCATATTGTTCTTAGCGTTCAAACTAGTTTTTGTCTTTCTTTGCTAAAACTTTAGCTTGCTTATCAAGCTCCAGTTCCTTGACATAATTTGCCAGTGCCCATCTCCCCACGTATCATCTGAACAGTCCGAGAAAATGGACACTATGCTTCCAGATGTTTCTGGTCCGTCTCGGGCAGAGATGGATACTGCAGCCCTGGAGGCTACTACAGCTGTGGCTGCCCCCAGAACAAGGTTACTAGTGAAAGTGGAAGGTATGTTAACCCCGTGCGTGGCTATCTCCGCGAAGATGTTTGTGCCCGGATAACGCTGAATATGCTTAATTTGGCAGAGCCTCCCAAATTCGATCTTGAAACTTACATTGCAAATTACACTGGTGAGTGACCTTTCTTATCTCCAGGCAGATTTCTTATTCTCATGCATCATCAGGGCGCACCCGCTACGACCGTCTTTACCTCATCGGCACATGCTCTCCATTGCTCTCGACTGATGCCCTCAAGGCAGCCATCGCCGAAGCTAGAACCAGCAAAGACGTTTCGAGATACGAGAGAGCGGTCCGCGCGCTGGCGGAAGTAGCTCCGAGCGATCCCGACGCTTCTCTTGACGCTGCCTGGGTCCAGGAAACCAATCGATACGTGCAGACTCAGACCGAGCGATTGGAACATGAGCTGCGGGGATACAAAAACAACTTGATTAAAGAAAGCATCCGGGTAAGGAGCAAATTCTTTCGCTGGAAGATCGCGTGACTCTGACCTGTATAGATGGGCCACGAGGATCTGGGAAATCATCATTACGAAACTGGTGACCTTGCTGCTGCCTCCAAGGCATACTCTCGCATGAGAGACTACTGCACCACACCGAACCACATCACTTCCATGCTCTTCAAGATGGTCAACGTGGCTACCGAACGTGGTGACTGGATGTCTGTACAGTCAAACGTGCACCGACTGCGCAACTCTCAGTCAAAGCCGGAGGACGCAGCCAAAAACCTATCTAAAATCTCAGCCGCTTCCGCTCTGTCACAGATGCACCAAGGCTCATACCTCGAAGCAGCAAACTCTTTCTTGTCTGTCCCGCCGGACCTGGGCGATACCTACAATGAAGTCATTACCCCCAACGATGTCGCCGTCTATGGCGGTCTATGTGCTCTCGCCTCTATGAGCCGCGACGAGCTGCAGAAAAATGTGCTCGACAGCCAGACTTTCCGGAACTTCCTCGAACTTGAGCCTCATGTTCGCCGTGCCATAACTTTCTTCTGCAACTTCAAGTTCCGCCAATGCCTTGACATCCTCGAGGCTTATCGCCCTGACTACCTCCTTGACATTCACCTTCAGCGTCATATCCCACATTTGTATAAACGCATTCGCACCAAATCCATCGAGCAGTATATTATTCCTTTCAGCCGTGTCACACTCGACTCCATGGCGAAGATCTTTGCCCCCACGGTCGTTGGCGGTGAAGCGCGTCCCACAAATATCTCTTCGCCGTTTGTGCAAGAACTGGTCGGCCTCGTTCAGGATGGTGTGCTGAATGCTCGCATTGACCTGGAGAAGGGATTGCTGGTGTCGAACCAGATCGATCTACGAGCAGAGGTGCAGCGTACCACGCTAGAGAGCATACGCGAATTCAACGAGGAGGCCCATTGGCGGATTCTGCATGCTGCTGTACTCCAAGCAGGATTAGAGGTCAAACCTGACAAGACTGAAGGATCCGGACCAGGAAAGAGTGCACGGTTTTCTCGAGGTCCAGGCCGGGATTAATCGATGGAGACAGGACCGAACCCTCGACTCCAGGTGATCCGGGCGCATGAATGATGACGAATGAGATAATACCCCGATGCTCTAGCTGCGATTGCAACTGCAATGCAGATGCTGTATGGCTTACAGAAATCAATTCAACTCTCAGTGAGGTTTTCCTGCACGTAAATGATGCCCATCTCTACACAACCAACCATTAGTACACACTGTAAACAACATGAGCCATCGCACAAACTACGTTCTTTGGAATAGTCAGCGGTTAGCTGAAAATATCCCTCTCTCGCCTTGTCCGGTTCTCGACTGGATATCAATCCCGCCGATTCAATCCGGCTATTAGTCCTCCGTACTACACAATGACCTAGCCAGTAGCACACTTCGATGAAAATTAGAGAAAGCACTTGTGCTAAGAAGGGATACCAAAACAATGCAGATGTCCACGAAGGTGAAGACTTCGGGAAAAGATTTAGAGATCAACTGGGGTTTGGACTCCTGCATGGGATAATTTTCCCAAGCAGAAATTTTACAACCGTCTTTTCTACCGCCTTGCAATCTAGAAGGGCGATCTAGAAGGATCTTGTATTTGTCTCCTGGGCTCTCTGACGCCTACAAATAGTCATTTTTTCATATGATCCAATGATCCTCTCTTCGCCTCTCGGTTCATCATCTCTCGGGCCATCGAGCTGCCATCTATAGCCATTTTCAATGACCGAGCTTGCCTAATGATTTGACCGGCCTCAGGTGAAGCAACCATCATTCCGGCTTGGACAATAGCACCTGCCGAGTGAGTACGCTAAAATGTCCAGTCCCAGCTCGTTCAAACCTACGGCATTTTCTAATAACCTGCCATCCGTCATGACATCCCGCTACACTCATCGCTATATTTAATACCTACCATGGGTGGAGCCCAGAGGCATGAGCTCCAATACTGCTGTGGCTATGGAAAAAGGACTGGCGAAGAATCCCCTCGGGAGGAGGGAAGCGGAAATTGTCACTATAGTGATGCATGACTTTGTCGCTCAAAGAAGCTAACCAATATTCAACAATTACACGGGCCTAGCTTCCTTGTCGGGCAAAAATATATAGCGCGCTGCATACGGTGCTGATTCCCAAACAGCCGAGCTAGAGCTAGAACGGTTCCACGGCTTCACCAGCACTCGCTCCTTGTCATCCAACGTTGAGGAAATACGCGTTATGAGCCATGACTGTTCTTGCATCCGTGTATGAATTCCAAAGTCATACATTGGTGGGTGTGTTTTTCTCCCTCGGACCATCGGGCTGTGGCAAGATCCTGAATCCAGCGATATGAGTACCCTCACTTTCTCCTTTCGAAAAGCCAAATTTGTGAAAAAAAAAATTCAATATTTGCTCATTGGCCTTGATTTTCTTCTGGCAAAAAGCCCGATTGTCGTAGTATGTCTCCAACCCCTGCAGATATTAGAATTGGCCATATACTCCGGCACTTTTCCCCTTTTGATATTCCTTGTGATACACTGGTAAAAGGGAAAATTCTGTAGGATGTCAACTTCCTTTGCATAGATCGACTTTCTCTCTCTTTAGTCTTTGATTTTCTAGTCTATTGCTCACTGAGCTCAAATATCGATACAGTAAAGGTTGGCTCCCCAAGTGCTATCGCTTCTCGATATGATTGACTTCCTCTGTATTTACCCTGTGTGTTTGGAAGACCGGCGACGCAACACAAGAATCGAATTGGGTACCGATCTTTTGTCCTCTCACACATACTCAGCCTTGACAGGGAATCCTGATTTGCAAAGCTCGACGCAGTCAGAAAACGCCCAAAATTCCACGGAAATGACGACAGATGTTCCAAGTCCAGAGGCTGGGTCAGTGCCTGTCCTTCTTTTCCCACTGAAACGGACTTTTGACCAAATGGAATCGGCAATGGAAGGAGCTTCAGAGTTCACCAGGCGTTTGCCGCCCACTTCGTCCATTTCAGCCCCAATTATTCGTGCGTCGAGCATGCCGAATATACCTGAACTCCCGTTACTAGACTCTGCGCTTGAAGCCGATATCAATTATCACAAAGAGAGCATTCTCCCATCGCCTGGGCTGGCCCCAATCCCGGAAGAAAGCCCTGAGGACAATGACGGCCAGGACCTAAACCCACCGATACCGGGAATGAACAGCTCGCCTACTGAATTTGAATTTTCGAATCCAATGAGCGATCTGTCAAATCCGTATTCCTCAACACCAGCTGCATTGAATCCAACAACTATTCTCGCTCCCGAAGTGGGTCAAGATGGTCCTATCATCGCTCTATCACCCACACTATCTCCACTCGTAAACTTTTTATCACCAGACAACAATGATGGTAATGGAGATACATCATCTGTAGCATCAATAGTCGATGATTCAGATTCAGTCTTTGATGATGGACAATCAGAAAACTCATCCAGATACACAGCCTCACTGTTATCCGATGTTAAAAACTACGCTTATGAAAATGGAAGACGTTATCACTCATACCGCGAAGGCCACTACGTCCTTCCCAACGACGAACCAGAGCAAGATCGACAGGATCTACTCCATCACGTCCGGAACCTCGTGCTCAACGGCCGGCTCTTCCGAGCCCCACTGGACAATCATATCCAACGCGCTCTCGACATCGGCACCGGCACCGGAATCTGGGCTATTGATTTTGCAGACAGCTTCCCTAGTACTGAGGTAACCGGCACCGATCTAAGTCCCATCCAGCCGTCATGGGTCCCACCTAATCTTCGCTTTGTGGTGGACGACGCTGAATCGCAATGGCTTTATAGCCCAAGCCGCCCCTTTGACTTCATCCATGCCCGGGATCTCGGCGGTGCTATCGCCGACTGGCCGCGGCTGATGCGTCAGAGCTACGAGCACCTACGTCCCGGTGGATGGGTTGAGTTGCAGGAGTTTGAAGTTATGCTCAAGTCAGACGATGATTCGATTCGTCTCGCACCGGCCTTGTGCGAGTTTCTTGAACGACTGACTCAGGCCAGTGAGGCATTTCACCGACCTATGAATATCGCCGAAGGTCACCGGCAGCGGCTAGTTGAGGCTGGTTTTGAAGATGTGAGAGATGAGGTGTACAAGGTGCGACCCCGTTCCCCTTCCCTGCCCCCGGTCTTCTGATTGATTTGGCCTTGCTTTCTGCCTACCTCTTGAGTCGCAACTAATTCGTGCTCTGTTTTCTAGGTTCCGTCGAGCGTTTGGGCTAGGGATCCCGTCCAGAAGGAAATTGGTCGTTACAACCAATGCTCCCTTCTGATGGCGGTTGAATCCTACTCGCTAGCTCTTTTCACTCGTGTACTAGGATGGTCTAATAGTGAGACTCAGGTTTTCCTGGCTGGGGTGCGGAAAGATCTTAAGAATCCCGCGGTGCATACGTACTGCAACCTGCATGTCGTCTACGGTCGGAAGCCGTCTCGGTCCCCAGTCGCATCAGCAATTTGACTCAGGATTTTCCCGAGGATTTTCGGAGTCCAAAGAAATTGTAGATAGATTTGATATGGCTCTCAGTCTCTGGATGTTGGAGTAGTGAGATATCCCGTTCGTGCTACGCCCTACTCCTCCTTCCGCCTGGCCCCTCACCCTCACGTCTGCCACTAACCGCATTCGACTGGTACATCGCCGCGGTTCTTTGTTCGATTCTCGTTTTGGTCTTGGTTTAGTGTCCAAGTCCTTATCCCACTCCTGTTTAGAAAAGAAACAAGCCAAATGACCGCGAGCTGAATATGGCTTCAGGGCAGTGCATGAACTGGCGGACCATTATGACCTCTTTTACTTCAAATCTCACCATGTCTAGGGCAACCTCAGGTCCTAGCTTTTGGTGTGCGGCTGCAGCATGCCTGGTAAGTTGCAGAAACCCGTGCTCCCAGCCCTCGTTTGTTTCATGCAGGAAAAGAACCCTACAGTAGATCCAGTCCCCCCCAAGATATCTCCCCGGGGAAACACAGCAGCTCCGAGAAATGAATACTAACCAGTCCTTCATCCTTCCCCCCCCCCCCCCCCGCCTGACAGGCGTTTACAGAGAAATCCGGGCTAATCAGCATGTAATCAACAGTTCTTACTCTACGTCACCTACAGCCTCATCTACGCCTTTTGTTGGTCGCCCCTGCGCCACTTCCCTGGTCCAAGGCTATGGGCGTTATCTAGCATTCCATCTAACCTCTCCGTCCTCCGTGGCTATAATCACCTAGAAATCCTGGCGCTGCACAAGAAGTACGGTCCCGTCGTTCGCCTAGGTCCCAACGAATTGGCCTTCAACACAGCTCAGGCCTTTCGCGATATCTACGGCACCCGACCTGGCGGTTGTTTTCCCAAGAATCGAAGCCATTACATAGCCCCGGCAAATGGGGTCGATCATTTGGTCTGTGCGGTCGATGATGCGACCCATGCGAGACAGAAACGGCTGCTCGCCCATGCCTTCTCTGAAAAGGCTTTGAGAGACCAAGAGGGTCTTATAACAGGTTATGTAGATACCTTGATCACCAAACTACGGTATCAAGTTCGGCAAGGGACATCAATCGTCGATATCAAAAGCTGGATGAACTTCACTACTTTTGACATCACCGGTGATCTGATGTTTGGCGAGTCCTTCGACTGCCTGAAGGACAATCAGCTTCACCCGTGGATTAAGTTGATCTTTAGCTCCATGAAGGCTCTTGCCTATACTGGAGTTGTGAATCAGTTCCCCATGCTCAAGGGACTACTGGACTTATTCCTTCCGCGAGAAGTCAAGCGCGTTGGCCAGGAACATTTTGATCTGAGTGCACAGAAGGTTGACCGTCGCTTGGAGTCGAATATGGCTCGTCCGGACTTTATGTCTGCCATTCTTCAGCATGGACTAAGCGAGGAGAAGGGCCAGTATCGCGAGAGCGAGCGTATTATGACTCGGGCGGAGATTCATTCTAATGGCTTTATGTGAGCGGTTTCGCTTGGTTTTTAAACATTCTTATTCTCCCTATTTTCGCTTTTCTGACTCAGTAAACCGTTCTCTTGCTAATCAAAACCAGTCTAATCGTGGCAGGTAGCGAAACATCTGCGACCCTACTTTCCGGCTGTATCTTCTACCTGTGTACAGCTCCACACGCCATGACCCGCCTTGTCGCCGAGATCCACTCGACTTTCAAACAGGACACTGACATGACCTTTCGTGCCGTGGAAGATCTGAAATACATGAATGCTGTTATCGAGGAGTCGCTGCGTATCTACCCGCCCTTCGTGACGAGCCTGTCACGGCTTGTGCCACAAGGCGGAGCAGTCGTGAACGGCCACTTTCTCCCTGAGGAAGTATGTAAATCTGTTTCACTTCGATCAATCACACTGGTGGCACATGCACTAATCCCGACTAGACGGTTGTGGCATGTCACCACTACGCCTCCTACCACTCCGAGTCCAACTTTACCTTCCCGGACAAGTTTATGCCAGAACGCTGGCTGGAACCCAATCCGACTTTCGAGAATGACAAGAAAGATGTCTTGCAGCCATTCAGTCTCGGACCACGTGTCTGCCTTGGAAAACAGTGTGTTACTCTCCGTTCCCCCTTTACCCCCGACACACCACCTAAATCAAAGCTAAAATGTTCTGTCTTCTTAGTCTTGCAAATTGCGAAATCCGCCTGATTCTTTGCAAGCTTCTCTACCACTTTGACATAGCCCTGCGCCCAGAGAGCACCAACTGGGTCGACCAGAAAGTCTATTTCCTTTGGGATAAGCCGGCTCTGACGGTCACGCTGAAAGACAGATTTCCTGGCGCTGGTGGGTCAGATTCTCAGGAGCCCATAGCTCTGTTCTCAGAATGATGAGAGTGGGCTAGAGTTTGAGCTTCGCAGATGCCTTGCGTCTGCAGTCAGGTCCTACAGTAGAATAGGTACAGATAGGATTTGCTGGGTAGGATTTATGAGATCCATGACTTTCGTTTCTTTGCCTTGAATCGCTTTTTGAGGATCATCATCTCGTGGCACTCGTTCGTTGGATTGGGTGCTTCAGTATGTTTTGTGTTGTGACCTGCGACGGCGGCTGGGCTCGGCTCTGGATTTTGGGTTTAGTGGAGTTTGGGCCTTTTTTATCTCTTCTAGTCGCAGAAGACATTCGTTTTCGCGGGAGATGGACTCTGTCCCTTGATAGTTGCAGAATCACAGTTCCATCTGGTCTTCTGAAATGTGTTATGGGGAAAACATTGAATTTTAAACGGTTGGGTCGATATTATCAAGATTCTAAATTCGGTTCTGCCGAATATTTATTCAAAAGTGATGCAAATACAATGATAGTATGTATGCA